CTGGGGTTATTCAGCCTGGAGAAGAGGAGGCTGAGGGGAGACCTTATTGCTCTCTACAACTCCCTGAAAGGAGGGTGTAGAGAGATGGGGGTCGGTCTCTTCTCTCAAGTCCCAGGCGACAGAACGAGAGGAAATGGCCTCAAATTGCTCCAGGGGAGGTTCAGGCTGGATATTAGGAAAAATTTTTCACTGAAAGGGTTCTCAGGCATTGGAATGGGCTGCCCAGGGAGGTGGTGGAGGCACCATCCCTGGAGGTGTTCAAAAGACGGGTTGATGTGGTGCTGGGAGGTCTGGTTTAGTGATGATGCTCCTTGTTTGTTGTGTGGGTGTCTATTTTTGTCAGTTAGGTTGACGGTTGGACAAGATGATCTTTAAGGTCCCTTCCAACCTAGAAGATTCTGTGATTTTACATGGTGGGGTCAGTCCCTGGAGGCCTGGTCCCTCCCGGGATGGGTGCCCGTGGTCCTCGGGGGTCCCTTTCTCCCGTTTCCGTGGTCCAGGGTTGCCCCTGGGGGTCGGTAACGAAGGGTTGTGTTCCTAGAACGAGGCTCGCAAGCTGAATCACCAAGAAGTGGTGGAAGAAGATAAAAGGCTTAAATTACCAGCAAACTGGGAAGCCAAAAAAGCTCGGCTGGAGTGGGAGCTGAAGGTGGAGGAAAAAAAGAAGGTAAAAATACAATTGCAGCTTGCCCTCAGCGTGGGTGCTGGCAGGGAGGCTGGGCTGCCTTCACACAGAGCTCCTGCAGACACTACCCCCCAATAATCCACCTCCTAATTAACTCCCCAATGATCTAAATCGCTGTCCTGAGCTAGAGGTTGAGAGGACAGATCCAGGGAACTCCAAGTGTGACCCTGTTCTTTGTGTGGCGTTAGGAATGCGCGGCGAGAGGAGAAGACTACGAGCGAGTGAAACTGCTGGAGATCAGCGCCGAGGACGCCGAGAGGTGGGAAAGGAGGAAGAAGAGGAAAAATCCAGATCTGGGCTTTTCAGGTAACGGTTTAACCACGTTCATAACGAACACCTGTGTTAGTATTTCAGCTGCAAACTGAGCCCTGAAATAAAAACCTCCCCCCTGACACAAATTCCTTTTCTCCCCCAGATTACGCGGCCGCGCAGCTGCGCAAGTACCAGAGGCTGACACGGCAGATCAAACCCGACCTGGAGCAGTATGAGAAGCTGAAGGAGCAGTAGTGAGTGCCCTCTGACCCCTTGGGGTTATTTCCATAAGTAGCAAACACTAAGGGTTTAAACTAACCCTTTAGTTTAGTTAATCTTAGATTAAGATGGTTGGAGCATCTCCCTGGTGAGGAAAGGCTGAGGGAGCTGGGGCTTTTGAGCCTGGAGAAGAGAAGGCTGAGGGGAGACCTTCAAGGATCTAAAGGGTGGGTTGAGGGAGGATGGAGCCGGACTCTTTCCAGTGGTTCCCAGTGAGAGGACGAGGGGCAACAGGCACAAGCTGGACCATGGGAAGTTTCACTCCAATCTGAGGCAGAACTTCTTTGGGGTGAGGGTGGCAGAGCCCTGGCAGAGGCTGCCCAGGGAGGGTGTGGAGTCCCAAATCTGGAGATCTTCAAGCCCCGCTTGGATGCTCCTGAGTGATGTGCTCTGGGCAGCCCGGCTTTGGCAGGGGGGTTGGACTGGAGGATCTCCAGAAGGTCCCTTCCAACTCCAACAATTCTGTGATTCAGCACATGCCTATTCTCATCTACGCTGTCATATTAATTAGCCTGTTAACACACATGTAAACTGCTGCCCTCCTGTTCCTCTTCTCCAGCGGTGAAGCGCTGTATCCCACATCCGACAGTCTTCTCCACGGAACTCACGTCCCGTCGAAGGAAGGGGTGGACAGGATGGTTGCAGATCTTGAGAAGCAGTAAGTAAACACTGAGATAAAATGAGGGAATGTCTGAGAGCAGCTTTGTGTCATCAGATCCTCAGGACTCACCCCCCAAGGCCTTCACACACTCCTCTTTTCCCTTCCAGAATTGAAAAACGTGAAAAATACAGTCGCCGGCGTCCTTACAACGATGATGCAGACATTGACTACATCAACGAGCGCAACGCCAAGTTCAACAAGAAGGCAGAGAGGTTCTACGGGAAGTACACGGCTGAGATCAAACAGAACCTGGAGAGAGGAACCGCCGTCTGAGCCCTCACCCCCAGCAAAGCCCACCCCTCCCTCAGCATTACCAAGAGCTGTTAGTTTGGTAGAGAAACTTAAAATGGTAAAGTTGTGTAAAACACTTTGTAGAAGTAATTTGTGTAACCAGCTTGTGGAGGTTCGTATTTTAAATAAACACAAACTCCTATCACTTAATTTAGAATAAAGCTTGTGTGTGTCCTTCAGTAGCTGAAGATACCCCAGGCTGTGTCTGTTCTCCCAGGGCAGTGCCTGTACAACACCACGCTACGGCTGTTCCACTCACAACCACCCATCCTCCTCACCAAGGGGGCAAGGAATCAGGTCCAGCTCAACCATTAACCTCATTTGCTGTTAAATACATAAAGTACATTTGCCAGCCTTGGCAATTTAATAATAATTTCTTAAAGAAGCTTCCAGACAGGAGGAGTCAAAGTCACTTTATTTTATTGAAATTTATGTATTGTTACAAAATAATGAGTTTAACTGCTCTCCAAAGCATGCAACAGCGCGTTGATGTGGTTGCAATACTGTTGTTTGCAAAGGTGCATGAGAGCTGTGCAGCAGAGTCTCTACCATCACTATAAGCAGTAAAACCTCTACCTCTGCCACCACGCTGCCACCTCCACGGCCTTCATGGGCTGCCTTACACTGTGGGGGGTTTTAAAGCAACCTAAATCAAGGCACAAGGCAGCACCGAAATCAGAAGTGACAACTATTTTATCCAGGGAGGTTCCTCTGGAGCCCCTGAGCCAGCCCCAGCCTGGGCAGGAAGGACTCATCCCAGCAGAAAGTCCCCTTTCCAGGATGACACAACCCCCTCCTGCTGCACTTAGAGGAAGGGAAAGCTAAACCTGGGAACACCCAGGTACAACAGCACAGAGCCAAGGTACCACCGAACACGGGTCTAACACGTGACACAGGGAGAGGCCAGTGCAAAACTAAAGTTTATTTCCTCGAAGTAAACAGTTACACAATGTTAAGTCAAGAGTTCAAAATAACAGCTACAGAACCAGTGTTTAGAAAAAAAGTTACCCACCTGGGAAGTTCTAGTCCATTAAAGCAATACAAAAATATTTACAAATATACACAAGATTCCCACCTGTGGCTTCTGGATCACTGTGCTCTACATCTGAAAGAGAAACCTAAGATTCCAGAATTAAGATTTCAAAATAAATACTCAGTATTAACAAGTCCTCAACCCTATCAGAAGATGTCAGATCTCCCTAGTGACGTACACCCAACGCTGCAGTTGAGACAGTGAGAGAAATACACTAACGTGCCCGGAACGCGGCACTTTTGGGTGAGAAGTTTAGAAATGTTTTCTTCTCCTCCTTCTTGACAGGAACCCACTGCCCATAGGGACTTCCCTTTTTGTCCTCTTCTCTTCCCGGAGAAATGGGTGGTTCTTTAACAACGTGGCTCACTGGCCTCTGCAGTACTGGCTTTGCCATTGTGTTCTGGAAAAAGAAATTTCCTTTAAAAATGCTGAAACAAGAATTGGGGAGAACATACTAAGGAGAAGGAACACACTAAGACCCATTGACATCAGGGGGGTTTTCTGTGCTGATAAGACAAATGTTTTTTTATATAAATAATTAACACAGGATTCAGGGAAGTTCCTTTTTTGCTTAAAATATTAAAATCTATCTAGAGATGTAACCTGGGGCACCCCACTGACCTGGTTTCAGCTGGGACAGACTTAATTTTCTTACCAGCAGCTGGTACAGTGCTGTGCTTTGGATTTTGGGTGAGAATAATGGTGAAAACACTAATATTTTAGCTGTTGCCAAGCAGCCAAGGACTTTTGAGGTTCTCATACTGGTCCACCACCAAAGGTGGTGCTTCTTGGGGGGCACCCAAGAAGCCAGGAGGGGACAGAGCTGGGACAGGTGACCCCAACCAACCAAAGGGATGTTCCCCAACACATGACATTCAGAGTTATGGCATTTTCTTTCCAATTAACCATTTCATGTGATAGAGCCCCCCTTTCCTGGGGATGGCTGAGCACTGTACCTGATCTGGCAAGCAGTGCTGGGAAAAGCCTAACATGGGAAGGATGAAGTACTGGAATCACACTTACATTAGGACTGAAAGAAATGCTCCTCTGTATGGTTGCTCTCTCCATCCCACTTTTGGTCACGTCTTCTGCAAGTCTTCTGGGTTGCTAGAGAAGAGCACACACAGCTTCAGTGGGAGGATCCGTTATTCCGTGCAATTTAAGGCAGTTACTACAGAATATGAACTTTCAGGTAGAGCCGATTCAGGTATTTACATCAAAAGTAGCTGTAAGCTACTAAATACGCAAACAGATCGATGCTGAACTCAATTTGAAAACCATTTGGTATTTTTTACCAATGTCATTGTGCCAATTCACACGTGACCTGATATCTGTGCCCCAGTTAAGAGTTTTAAGAAGGATTCAAACAATTGGGAGCACGGACTGCCATGGGATGAGGTGTCATGGTAAAGTAGGACACATGAAGTTCTGCATATCCATCCTGCAGAGCTTTGGATAACGACAATAAACTTATCTGCAAGTGATGCAGGCCTCTTCTTCTGTACTCTCTCAACATCTGGAATATATTGCATATATTATGAAAGGGATGCCTGTACCATTTGTCTAAAACCCTTAGTAAATTTATTTCCATTTGAAATAGCAGTATCTGATCAATGTAACAGTTATTGCAGCTTTGTATTTACCACGAACCAGGTTAACAGGCTATAACAACAGAGTCAAACTAAAATTCAGTTTAAGCTGCTCAAGTTTCTCCCTCCCTTAAATTCACAGCAGCTACAGCCCACAAGTCCCTTAATTACCAACAGATTTTCTTCATCATGTCTGGAACCATAGTCATGATTTCTATAAAGACAGAAATAAAGTATGTAAAATGCATTGTGTGCTTGGGTATGTAACTTCCGGGAAACAGTTTGTTGCACATGAAAAGCTTTTAACAGTTCAAAGGGTAGAAAGATTTAACCTTTAAAAAAACAACCCGCAGTATTTACTGGTTTTTGGAAGGAGACTCCTTGTTTTAGGCCAGAAACATGTAAATTAGTCTCATTAATGGGCAATATCCTATTAGGAAAACAACTCAAAGAAAATTCACCTCTCCTTCCCAACCTATCACTGCTGGAAGGCCTGCAGGTACTCAGTGGATCAACCACCTCTGAGGAGTCTGTGGTACTTTCAGCTTATCGCAAAGTCTACGGTGGTTTCTGAAACAGTTTTAAGATATTCTGGTAAATCCGAGGTTTTTTTGTTCAAGGGTTTGAATTCATAATCACAAACTCCACAGTTAAAGACTATGACACATCCATGCAGATGACAAGTTTTAAGAAGTCTTTACCTTTTCATTGAGAATACTCCAGTTCATACTTACCTCAGCTGACTCTCCAGGATCTTCATGCTCCTGTTTTTCATTTTTTATCTCTTTGGAAGGAGTAAGGATCTTCAAGCTCGCTGGCAAGACTATGTTATCTGTGCCCAGAGCTTTTGCAGCGTTGGCTTTCGCAATTTCCAGAAGTTCCCTCTTGTCTACAAGAAAAAAAAAAGTGTCATTCTTTTATTTTTAAATCAACACATACCTACTCACGCAAGTCTAAAAACTGCAGGTTTATTACCACTCCACCTACATAAGCATCAACTGTGATGAATTTCCAGAATTTCCATCAGAACCAAAGAGTTAGCTTCAGCCATAGCACAAAGAACACTCTGAACTATTTTTTTTTTAAATTCTCATTTTTATAACCATGCAGAGATTTTCTTCCACATTGCCACTATCAGTTATGCTCTATAAAGCAAGTAAACAAATGAGAATTTGCCTAGTTAAAATAAATACAAGTTGTATGTTCTGAGGTTCTCAAAGTCTCAAAAAAAAAGTACCTTTTTCACTCAAATGGAGAGGTGATCTGCTCCGAGATCTTGTTCGTGACCTGCTTCTCCAGCTCCTGTAAGCCTCGGGGTAGATTGTTCGCCCAAATCCATAGTATCTTCGGCCTCTTGAACGTGACCTGCTTCTCGAGTAGGACCTTCTGTAATAGGATCTTCCACGGGACCACGACCTGCTGCGTGACCTGTACCTCGGAGGAGAGCGGTGGTACCTCCTGTAGTGCCTGGCATAGTACCTGCCTCGGTACCTCCTGTAGCCACGGGATCTTGACCGGCTTCTGGAGTACGAACGAGAGTATCTTCTGTACCTTCGGGAACCGTTTCTTCTTGTCCGTGACCTTGATCTGGACCTGGAGCGGCTCCAGCTCCTAGAGGAAGCTGAAGAGGAACTACTGGAACTGGACCGTGAACTGCAAGAGGATCTGCTGGATGACCTTGTTGATGACCTATCACAACTTCTCTTGGATCTCAAAGATGACTCTCTTTTCTTCGGTGAGCTGAGAGTTAAGTCATCCATGAAGCCTGTCATATCATCAGTTTTCGTGACCGTTTTCTCCGTGCAGGTACTTTCAGTAGCTGGTTCCGTTTTTATTGTTGTTCTCTGGTATCCGGTCTCTGTTCCTGTTATGGGTGGGGAAGGAGAAGCTAATCATTTACACAGCAACAACAAGTATGACACACAAGCAAAAAACAGAAGGCTAATTAAGCACACCGACAATTCTCATCCAGTTTATCAGCATGTTTTGCTTATGACATTTTTAAGTTTTGTCATTTCCTCTCCTTCAGTCTTCTATATGGAATAAAAAAAGGCTTCAGTTTAAACCATAAGTAGTTCTGTGTGGAATTCTGAAGAAAGGTTTGCTCATGAGGGTTTGAAGTTTAATACCCTTTGTTTGGTTTATGAAAAAGATACAAGTTAATTCCTCTTTTTTCTGCTAATATTTTTCAAGGTATTTTATCTTCAATAAATATAATAATAATATAATAAATAACAATTTGCCATCCAGATCAGTGTGAATTGAGTTGTTTTCTTCTGCAGCTCTATGGAATTTAAGTTTTACTGTTTTCCTCCAACAGGAAGAAAAAAAAAAAAGTATCTTGAAGGTACAAAGCAGCCACTTCCTTGACTATATCACATTAAAAAAAACTATCCACACAAAACTCCACACATCCCAGCAGCATACGCAGAAAGCTGCTTTTAAAAACATTCTACAGAAGTAGTGAAAAATACAGCTAATGATTCACTAGATATGACTTGTAAGGGGTGTGACACTTGTTAAGGTTATATATTAATAATTAAAATGGCTGTCCCTCGCTACTGGCAGCCATTTTATATTTACAAAGGTTACTGTCTTCTAGGGTGTAACTCTTATCTCTATTACTTAAACCTACGTCACCACTTTCCGGCTTAAGGAAGTTTGCTTTATCACAAGATTTCTACTGAGCACTCACTGTTACCAAGAAAAACTTAAAACCTTACTGAAATCCATCGAGAGTACTAACTTCTGCACGAGTTTATAACCAACATTCCTCTCGCTATTGCTAAAGTTTCACACTACTTCACCGCTAAACAAGGGCCAAGGGCACAGCTAAGAGAAAACAACTGATTAATTCCGACCTGAAACGCCCCCCCACCTCCCATCGCTAAGCCCCCGGGGGGTCAGTGCTCCCCACAGAGTACATTTCGGGCAGATTTCGGGGATTCTCACACAACCGGCCGCCCCCCGGACCGAGTTCACCTCAGAGGCTGTTCAGAGGCACTTACCGCTGGGAGCCGCCGGGCACCCCTGGTGCTGGTTCCCGTCAGAGACATGGGCGTTTCTGCAATAAATTAAAAAAAAATAACCCGTGAATAATGCGTGCCTCTCACCCCACGACCCCCCTCC